AATATAAAATGACAATTCAAACTTAAAAAAATTAACTTATTTAAGCTTTAAAACAAAAAGACTATTCCTTTTAAGTTCTTTTATAATTTTTTAAAATTTTAATATTAAAAAATAAAATATTACACTAATTTTAAAAAGTTTAATATCTTTGTCACTGATAAGATTCCACAAGAATAAGAATAAAATTATATTAATATTGATAACAATAAAAATCAAGATTCAATTGATGATGCTAGCAACATGTAATTATTATCAGTATTGATTGTGTGATGTTTTTGTTTTTTTTATTAGATTCAAATTTGTTGTTCTGTGTATTGACTTAAATTTATTTTTTTAGACTTATGTGTAATAGCTTTTTTGAGATCTTAAAAATATTTTTTTAAATTTTTAAATTAAAAACTAAAAAAATAGGACTGAGGCCTTAAGGCTAGGGTCAGATTGACCAAAAGGTCAGCCTTTTAGGGTTAGGATGGCTTGATAATCATACCTAGAGTCGATAATTTAAACCAAGCCTGACAGGCTAGCCCAAACTCGTCCAAAAAAATAAAATAAAAAAATGAGCTTAGAAAAAAGATGCTTTTTATGCCCAAATAGGCTTGATTGGGTTCGACCTTGTCCTGATTGCTTGAATAAAAAAAATATATCTTTAAAAACTATATATAATATAATATATATTAATTCGTTAAGTTTTTTGTTATTTTATGCTAAAATACCATATATTTAAGTCCTATAAATTATTTAAGTATCCAAAAAATATATTTTATAATTTTATAAAATAAAATAATTAATTTCAAAGTAAAAATTTTAATTAAAAATAATTTCAAAAATAAAATTCAAGTTGGGTTTGACTATTCAGACTTTTTAAGAAGTTAGGCTTATTTGGATTTGGGCCTATTTAAGTCGGGCTTATTCAAACCAGGCCCAAATTCCCACATCTAGCCTTACCTATCAACCCTCTCACTTCTTTTAAAATTCAAATTTTAAATTTATATTTACTTAGCCAGGATTGATTGATTCTTCTTACTCAGATGCAAATGTATCCCTTGCAACACCATTTCATATCTTCTGATCTTTCAATGCCAAAGTAGCCAGACATGCCCGAGCTTTGTGATTTGCAAGCCCACGTTGATGCTAAATAATTTTTCTTCTTAAAAAAGGTATTATTGATCGATTGGAATGTTGTATTCATTCTTTCTCTAACAACTGCATATTGAAGGAAAACCACAATGACTTTGCTTCATTTCTTTTGCAGAAGGTTATATCAATATATTGCGCAGGATTGAAGAAAATAATCATTCAAAAAAGGAGATGAAGCCCTCATCAGATCAATAGCCTGAGGATTGAAATCAATGATTTCCATGGAGGCCCGGCTGGGTTTGAGATGGTTTTCAGATTCTGTTACAACAATGGTAGAATCCCAATCACTGTATCCAATGAAGCAGACAAATCAACACATCACTCCTTTAAAAAAAATCAAAAGAAATCTTCATTGTGAACTTCAATAACTTCAGTACATTGATGTTATGTTTGGATACAGATGGATTTGGCTTTGGATTTGAGCCAAATCCATTATTTGGATAATTCAAAATGTATAAATTTAAATTTAACCTAAATTCAAATTCAAGTTCTCCCTTAATTTCTTTGTAACATGAAATCATTTCAAAACTCCTATTATTTCAAATCCTAAATCAAGCTCTTTTGTACTTTGACCTAAATGCGTGAAGGCTTGATCAACTTGCTAACAATAATTGGACCGAACCACTAAAGTTCACAGAAAAAAGTTGCCACCGTTGATTGAGATAAGACGATCGACTTCCATCAAGACCGAACCGACAGCGACAATAGGGACCGGACAGTTGACTTCCATGGGGACCAAACCGATGGACATGACAGGGACCGGATGGCTAACTTCTATCAGGATCGGACCGACAAAAGGAACCGTACAGTCAACATCAACCAGGACCAACAAACAGTGATGATAGGGACTGGATGGTTAACTTCCATTAGGATCGAACCGATGGCAACAACAGGGATTGGATGGCCAACTTTCACCGGGATCGTATGGCCAACTTTCACTAAGATCAGACTAACAGCTAAGATGAGAATTAGACAGCCGACTTCCACCAGGACCAGACCGATGATGACGACGGGGATTAGGTGGCCGACTACCACTAGGATTGAACTGACAGCAATTACTAGGATTAAACTGCCGACTTCTATTAAGATCGAAATGACAGGGACAAGATGATTGATCATCGCCATCGGTCCGATCCTTGTAGAAGTCAGCCATCTAGTCCCATTATCACTGTTAGTCTGGTCCAGTGGAAGTTGGCCATCCGGTCCCCATCATCGCTGTTGGTCCAGTCCTGATGAAAGTTGGCCATCCCCATTGTCGAGACGATCTAGTCCTAGTGAAAGTCAGAGGTCTCATCCCAACGGTGACTGATACCACAGTGCCAGTGGGCTTTGTTTGTTTAATCTAGTTGGAAGTTAGCCATTCGAATCGTCGAGTTTGACCAATCTTTTAAATTTCTTTTAAATTTAAATATGGAATTTAAAATTTAAAATTTTATTTTAGATTCAAACAAAGGATTTTAATATTATAATTTAAAATTTTATATCATTCAAACAAAGAATTTAGAATCTATGAATTTCAAATGTGAGAGTTCATATATGAGATTTTAAATCCAAATTTCTAACTTAAATCCACCCATCCAAATATAATCTGAAACTATTGTAGTATACTGTGATCATATATAGTTTTAAATAAAGCATAAGGTAAGTACACTGAAAGGTGAAATTTATTCATAACAAGAACATGTAAGATGTGGCAGAACTATTCATTGTCTTTTTTTTCTTTTACATGTACGTGTTTAAAATAATATTTTAGCCAACTTATGTATATAAATTTTTCATAAAATACTAAATAAATAATAGTTTGTACTTGAAAATTTAAAATATATGAAAGTAATATATATATATATATATATATGTTATAAATAAAACATAGAGAAAATAAAAATGAGAATAAGAGAAAAAGAAAGAATAGAAGCAATAGAAATGAGGATAATTTATTCACAAAAAAAATGAATTGAAGATAATTTTTCTTGTATTCCTTTTCATACTTACAATAAAAATGAGATGTCATATATATATAGAAACACTTACACTCAAGAGGTCTCAATAATTGATTGTGAAATAATGTGTCATAATTTATAAAGAAGACATGAATTCTATATAGGGAGATGAAGTTAAGAATGTCATGAGTTACCTTTGAAAAATGTAAAGTAATATAATAAAAAGTTAAGTCTAATGTCCCTTAAAAATGTATTATTTCTATGATATGAACACGTGTTTACAAAACATTGGTGAACTAAGTACATAATGTTATGCTCAAAACATTTTATATGAACATTGAAATGTAAAAAAAAAAAAAAAAACCTTTGTTATTCTTCAAGTTGCAATTCCCCAATTCCTTAAGTTCAAAATTAATCGGGGATTCGATTACAATTGTTTGGGAATAAAATTAATTCGGGCGAGATAGTTAAAAGGTTTGAGTTATTAGAAAAACACATAATCCATTTTATTCCATCAATTTTATAATAACTTCTTACTAATGGTTAAATGAGTTTTTTGTCCATGCAAAACCACTAATTAAAAACAGAACCTTTTATTCCATTTCGGTCCACTCATCTATATATTATTGTTTTAATCATAAACATTTAAGTGAGTTGGGTTTTAAAAGCTCATCAGAACTAAGACATGCTTTTAGGCTCTAAGAACACTTGCGATATTGGTACCCATCTATATATTCTATTTCATCTAAACAAAGAAGGCAAATGAGCAGCTCTAACTAAAATAGAAAGACATTAGACGTTGAATAGCCAAGCTAATATCTGCTTTTTTCCACCATTAATATCTTATCATATTCATCGAAAACAATCTAAGGAAAATTTTTTAAAAAGACCCCTTAATTATAGTTAATAAAAAAGAGAACCCCAAGAACTTTGAAAATTCACTGCGGTAAATTAAAATGTTGAGAAAAATTACCTAACTGTCCCTACGAAAAGATAGCTTATTAATAGAAGTTGTTCGTTTCCTTATATATTGTTGTTCATTACTTACGTTAAGTTGTTCATTGTTTTGTTGTCTATTGTTAGTCTATTACTTTTAGCTGATTTCATTTTAAGTGTTGCCATCATATTAATATAAGTTGTTCATTTTCTTACATATTGTTGTTCATTACTGTATATTAAGTTGTCCATTGTCCTATTGTCTGTTGTTTATCCATTATTTTGAATTAATTTCTTTCAAGTGTTATCAACATAATAACACAAGTTGTTCATTTCTTTATATATTGTTGTTTATTACCCTACATTAAGTTATTCATTGCCCTATTGTTTATTGTTTATTCATTATTTTTAGTTGGTTTCATTCCAAGTGTTGTTATCATGCTAAATAAGTTGTTTGTTTCTTTACATACTATTGTTCATTATTTTACATTAAGTTGTTGATTGCCCTATTATCTATTTATTGGGGATGTGATTGAGAGGGGATGACAGACAACGATCTCAACATTTTAATTTAACAACAATACACTTGGACTGCAATGAATTTATAAAGTTTTTGAGTTTTCTTTTTTATCAACTATGATCATGAGGTCTTTATTGAAATACTCCCAAAATTTAATTTGTTTGAGTATTTGACACATATATAACTCTTGTAATCTAATCAATCTATCAACAAGTTGCTAAAAGCATATTTTGCACCAAACAAGTTAAGTAAACATTTTATAACACTTTCGTAGAAGATGAGACATTTGACTTTTTTATTTTCTATCAAACAATAAAGGCGATGACTTTCTATCAAGGGACTGATCGATCTTGGTTTGCAGACCATGACTGTAATATAAACGATAATACAAAAGCCCAAACCATACAAATAAATCAAGAAACGTTAAAGCTGTTATAACACCGTGAACTCAAATGATGAGCATAATATCACTTTAACCCCGTGGTAGAAACATATGCCAGAAATTCCTCATCGTGTTCAAATTTAGCCATGTCCTTCTCGGCAAGACTGGCGTAAGCTTCAATGCCACCACTTGACTTGGTGTCTTTTAGAGTAACCACATTCTTAAATTTCCACGTAGGCGGTCCCACCCACATGGGATTTCCCCAACCAAAATCAACCTCGTAGACTGGAAACCTACACAGCGAAGTAAATGCAAAAGCCGCAGGCTGAACATTATTGCCGATTGATCTCACCATTTCTTCTCTCTTCTGTTCAGGGTTCCATTGTTGACTTTCTCGAAGCTGCACAATAAAATCATTGTCGATTTTATTTACCTCTTCTCTTAACTTCAATCCTAGGTCGTGACATTCTCCTTTCTCGTCTAACGTTGGAAGCGTTCGCATTGGCCAGTAGTAGTTGCCGAAGGCATAGTCCGGTAATGGAGGCTCCATTCTTGGCCGTAGATTCGCTGTCCATGCGACTAAATGAATCTTTTTCTTGCTTCCTGATTCTTCCTTAGTGGCTGCTAGAAACCTCGTCCATATGAAAGTTGACAACAGTTCAACTCGTGAAGGAGATTTCTGATGACCTCCCAGAACATTTGTCATCTTCTCGGAGTATTTCGCTCTTAGAGATTCTATCGTGGATGCCTCAAACACGAATCTCTTGCACACTATTTTGTCCTTCGCGACGAGAGAATCCGGGTCGTATCCTGACACGTCTTTTGGTGGGAAGAGCGTGGATGATTGGAAGTGGGTTCTAATCGGTTCTTGTTCGCCACGTGTCACGGCAGCCCAGGTCTTGACGAACTGGAAGTACGACAGCGCGTCGGCGATCTTGTGGGAGATGCAAACACCGATGGCGATTCCGCCGCAATCAAAGACGTTGACTTGGACTCCGAGGACTGTGTCGACGGCTTCATCCATTTCAAAAGGAAGCAGTTTTCTGACGTCGGCAGGAGAAGGGTTGTCGGTGATGACGTGGCTGAGGTGGCAACTGACTCTAGTTTCTATGTAAGGGGCACCCTCATCGTTGCAGTCAACGATCAAGTTCTTGTTGATGAGTCTTCCGGCGAGTGGGTAGTAGTGAGTTAAGAGCTGAGACAATGATTTCTTGAGGAGGTCGGAAACGTCGTTGATATTGAATTTGTTTGCGACATCATCGGCATCGAAGAAATAGACCATAGAATTGTTGACTTGGGGAGTGATCTGGTCGAGGAACGAGAGATTGTAGCGACGAAGATGTTGAGGTGTTGGAGATGATGGTTTCACCATTGCGGTAGAGATTACTTCCACTTGTAGTTGTGGCCTCATTTTTGTTTCTTAGTCTGCTTTCTCTCTATACCGTGTTTGTTTCTGGTTTATTGCCTGAAAGAACTCACTCTTTTTCACCCCTACTTATACATCTCTAGTATTTGTCCTCTTCTTATTAGGAAAGTTTTCGTGTTATATTTAACAACATCAGATATGGTTTTTTATCTAGATCCCAGGTGATCAACAGATAGACGGTGAAGTTGCGTGCAATAAAGAGTATGAAAGATTTTAATGGTGAAAACAAAACTTTATATATACATATACATGCATAAATATATATATATAGAGAGAGAGAGAGAGAGAATATTGCATACACAAAGAGGGGATCTTTTGACCAATTTTCAGGAAAACATGAGAGCGCGGATTTGTTGGCTTGTGCGTGCCTATAGCTCGTTTCTCTTGATATAAAAAAGACATGTAATAATGGTTATTAAAATCGGACCTGATTTGACTAGTTTAATCAGGATCCTAGGTAGCCAGTCGGAAACTGTTACATAACCAAAGGAGGAGAGAACCATCTGCGAACCGCCTAAACCGGCCATGAACCGAACTAAAGTAGAAGAACCGACAGTTTAAACGTTCAAACAGTTCACTCTAATTTTGTGTTCTCTCCCAATTTATAAATACAACGTGGTTTTAGATTTTTTTTATTTTTTTATCATTTCGGATAACACTCAATGGGAGAAGCAAAACGCAAAACGCAAAACGCAATAAGAAAAAGCCAAAATGCAAAAGAAAATTGATCAAACAGTGGGGAAGAAAAAGTTAAGTACTATGCATTGGGCCCGCAGCTCATACAAGTTGTCACTCAATAGCACTCCTTATGTCTCACCACTTCTTTCCGTTTATGTAGATGAGAATGTGGGACTATTTCCCTCAGCAATGTGTCCGTGCTAGCTAGTCCTTCCAACAAGTTTTCTTTTTTATTTTTTTTCTCCTCATTTTTGTTCTTTTTTTTTAGTTCCTTATGCTTATTTTCTCATGTATGAATATTACTTTTATCTCCATGCTTCCAGGTATTTATCTATATTTTTGTTTCATATGATATCATTTTAATTTGGTTATAATTTACCTATAAAAAATGCTTAATGACCAACATCAAAAACAAGAATACACTTATTTCATCTCTTTTTTAATTGATTCTTTGGGCTTATTTATTTACACATAAACACCTTTTTCATTTATATTCATCCAAACACTACTACAGAATATATCTTTAGGAGCGGGTATTTAGGAGCGCTTATTTAAAAAGCGCTCCAAAATGTGAATGCGGAATTTACCGGAACGCTTTTCTAAATAAGCGCTCTTGTATGTCAGGCTTCAATAAGATAACGCACCTAATTAATATATATAAAATATGACAAAAAAATTTAAAAATACCTTCGGGAGCACTCGTACTTAAGCGCTCCGGAAGATAACTCTTCGGGAGCGCTCGCTGAAGAGCGCTCCACAAGAAAACCTTCCGGAGCGCTCTTCGACGAGCGCTCTGGAAGAGATAAGTCTTTCGGAGCGCTCGACGAAGAGCGCTCTGGAAGAGTCTTCCCACTCTTATATACATCCGTCAGTTTTCTTTTCTCCATTTAGTTTCTTTCATACCTCTCTCTCTTTTGTTGCCTCTCATTCCTTCTCTGTGTCGCGCCTCTCTCTTTGTTTCTGTGCCTTCATTGCCGTCGCTGTCGCCGTCGTCGTCGCCGTCGCCGTCCTCCCCTGCGTCGCCGTCGCCATCCGTCTCCGCGTCGCCGCCGCCGTCGCTGTCCAATCTCTGCGTCGCGTTGCTGTCTGGTCTCTGCGTCACCGCCGCCGCACCGTCGCTGCCTGGTCTCTGCATCGCCGTTGCTACGCCTCCATCTGTTCTGCTGTTCTAGATCTGCATCTCTGTTCTAGATCTGTATTGCTGTTGCAGATCACCATCCATCTATTCTGCTGTTTGCTGTTTGCTGTCTGCTATTTGCTGTTCTAGATTTGCATCTCTGTTTCAGATCTGTATTGCTGTTGCAGATCTGTGCTGCTGCTGTATACCGGAGGAAGGGACGCCGTGAAGACCTCCGTTACCGCTGTGCGTCGCTACTGTACAGCAGAGGAATTGACGTCGCTGCTGCCGTGAAGACTACACTTTGAAGGTATTTTTTTTAATAATTAATTTATATATATTTGAGAATAAATTTTAAATATTTTTTAATAATAAATATTATAGAAAATATATGAATTGAAGTTATTTATATTAAAATTATGGAGTATTTGTAGTTGATAATTTAGATTAAAGTTGAGGAAACTACTTGAACATTTTTATTTTATTTATGAAATATACTTTTATGGGAGATTATTGTTATTAATTAAATTACAATTGATTGACAGAATTTAGATACATTATGGTACTAAATTTTTATTTGGATGAATTGATTTATTTAGTTTAGATATATTGTGTTGTGAAATTTGATTGTTTGATTATTTGAGGGATTGTTCTTTTAAGGAAGATACTGTTGAATTTTTTTTATAGAAATTTAAGTTTTTTGTTTATTGAATTTTGGTAATCATATTAGTGACATAGATCGTAAGTGGATGTCGGCTAATCGACTATCTAGAGAATATTGGGATGGTGTAGATGAATTCATTGAATTTGCATTTTGTCATGATGAAGACCCCCGTGGAGTCATATGTCCTTGTTTGAAATGTTGCTATGGAAAAAGAGTAAAGCCAATAGAATTGAAAGATCATTTAATATGTAATGGGATTGATCCAACTTATACTTGTTGGACCATGCATGGGGAGAGAAGGAATAATGCAAGTGATTGGAGGGATAGTGCGAGCTACTCAACATTTGATCATGATAGTGGGATATATGATGTTGACCGTCTTGATGCAATGATTGATGTGATTGAAGAGGATCTTAGAGACTGTCCTGAGATGTTTGAGAGATTGAAGAGTGATGCTGATAAATCATTATACCCCGGTTGTAAAAAATTCACAAAACTATCAGTTATTTTGAAACTATACAACCTAAAAGCAACGAATGGATGGAGCGATAAGAGTTTCACGGATTTGCTTGAACTCTTATATGAAATGTTACCTGAGTACAACGAGCTTCCACCTAATACTTACGAAGCTAAAAAAGTGCTCTGTTCTATTGGGATGAGCTATGAGAAGATACATGCATGTCCAAATGATTGTGTCCTCTTTCAGAAAGAGTATTCAACCTTAGATAAGTGTCCAAAATGTGATGCATCATGGTACAAAAGAAATGGATGTAGCCCAGCGAAGGCATTGTGGTATTTTCCAATTATACCAAGATTTAGACGCCTATATAGCATTGCAGAAGATGCTAAACACTTAACATGGCATGCTGATGAGAGAATTAAGGATGGCAAGCTACGACACCCTGCAGATTCTCCTCAATGGAAAAAGTTTGATCTTATATACCCTGAGTTTGGGGTTGAAGATAGAAACTTACGCCTTGCACTAGCCACCGACGGAATGAACCCACATGGCATGCAAAGTAGTACTCATAGTACATGGCCGGTTATTTTAATGATCTACAATCTCGCTCCAGCATTGTGTATGAAGCGCAAATTTATGATGCTGTCATTGTTGATTTCTGGGCCTCGACAACCAGGAAATGATATAGATGTGTACTTAGCTCCTCTGATTGAAGATCTGAAGATTTTGTGGGAGACAGGTGTGGAAGTTTATGATGGGTATAGAGAAGAACATTTCATCCTGCGAGCAATGTTGTTTGGCACCATAAATGACTTTCCTGCCTATGGCAATTTATCAGGATACAGTATCAAAGGACGAGATGCATGTCCAGTATGTGAGGAGCACACATGTTCAGTGCGGTTGGAACATTGTAGGAAGAATGTCTTTATTGGTCATCGACGATTTTTGCCGCAAACACATCATTACCGACAACTAAAGAAGGCCTTTAATGGCCACCCGGAGAAGGGTAGAGTTCCCATGCCATTAACTGGTGAGCAGCTTTTTGAAAAGGTCAAAGATTTAAATATTGAATTTGGAAAACCATTTGCAAGTAAGATTGTTAAGAATGATTGGAAAAAGAAGTCCATATTCTTTGAGCTACCATACTGGAAGACCCTAGATGTTAGGCATTTCCTGGATACAATGCACATCAAAAAGAATGTCTGCGATAGTCTTATTGGCACATTACTCCACATTTCAGGAAAGAGTAAAGACGGAATTAATGCAAGGATGGATTTGATTAGCATGGGGTTAAGAGAAGAGTTGGCACCAAAGAGGAAGGGAAAACGTACTTTTTTACCTCTAGCAGCTCACACCTTGTCTAGAAAAGAAAAATTAGCTTTCTGTGAATTCTTGCATGAAGTTAAAGTGCCAAAAGGATATTCTTTAAATGTAAGTAGCCTCGTATCCATGAAAGACCTCAAACTAGTAGGTCTCAAGACTCATGATTGTCATGTCATCATGGAAAATTTATTGCCGGTTGGTATACGATCCATTTTGCTGAAGAAGGTGCGAGCCACGATTACTAGATTTTGTTTCTTCTTTAAGGCAATTTGTAGCAAGGTGATTGACCCGAAAAAATTGCCAAAGCTAGAACATGAAATAGCTAAGATTTTAGGCGAGTTGGAAATGTATTTTCCGCCTTCGTTCTTCGACATCATGGTTCATTTATCATTTCACTTAGTTAGAGAGATAAAGTTGTGTGGCCCCGCTTATTTGAGATGGATGTACCCAATAGAGCGTTACTTGAAAGTATTAAAAGGATATGTAAAAAATCAAAGTCGGCCCGAGGGGTGTATTGTTGAGAGGTACATCATGGAAGAAGCAATTGAATTATGTACTAGATATCTCTCTAATGTGGATGCCATTGGGTTACCAAAGTACACAAAAGACACCACAGGTGAACAGGGTGGAATCATTGGGAAGAAACTCATTAGCATAGACAAGACACAATGGGAGCAAGTTCACTTGTATGTTTTACACAACAC